TTTTTTTGTACCAGGGATTTAACTCAGGACCTTGCACTTGCAAGGCAGGCGTCAGAATCACTGAGCTAAATCACTAGCCCAGATTAATTGTATTTCTTGTATGTAGTATATCATTGGTTTTTTTCTAAAAAATAATTTTATTGGTACAATTAAGGTGTACAATATAATGACATTCATCATTGCAAGTTTGCACCTTTACATAATTCATCTTGTTTCTTATTTTTTCCCATTCCCCTGCCCTCCCTTCAACCCTTCCACCCTTCCCTATCCACAAAGACTTTGTTTCCATTTTTTTTCCTTATGTTAATTCCATTCCCATCTTTCTTTTCCCCTCCCCCTCCCACTTCTTCTTCCCCTTTCCATCTCTTCTTCCTATTTTGCATTCTCTAATATACCTTTTAGTCCTTATTTACACATTCAGTTTCTTATACTGGAGAAACTATTTGGTATTTACACATGTGTGTCCTATTTATTTCACTTAAGAGTACCACCTCAATGTGCATCCATTTAGCTATAAATGTCTCTAGTTTCTCACTCTTTATGCCTGAATAGTATTCCAATATATATACCTTTATCCAATCTCCCATTGATGAGCATTTGGGCTGTTTCTCAATTTTGGCTATCATGAATTATGAACATATGTGCACATATATCACTGTGGTATGATTCTTTTAATTCTTTGGGGAAGATACCCAGTAGGGGAACAGCTGAGTCAAAAGGGAGCTCTAATCCTAGTTCTCTGAAGCATCTCCATATTGATTTCCACTGTGGTTGCACCAGTCTACACACCCACCAGCAGTGGAGGAGGGTCCCTCTTTCCCCACAGCCCTGCCAGCATTTGTTATTAGTTGATTTCATAACAGCAGCCATTCTTTCTGAGGTGAGGTGGAATCTCAGCTTTGTTTTCATTAACATCAATCAAATGACCAGTGATGTTGAACATTTTTTCATATGTTTATTTGCTATTTCTACTTCTTTGTCTGAGAAATGTCTGTTTATTTCAGATGCCTATTTTTGGTTGGGTCTTTGAATTTGGGAGGTCTGATTTTTTAAAGTTTTTTATATACTCTAGTTAGTAGACCTTTTTCTGAGGAACAGCTGGTGAAAATTTGTTCCCACATTGTGGGTTTTCTCTTCTCACTGTTGGTCATTTCTCTTGTTGTGTAGAGCTTTTTACAAAGAAGAGATCCCACTTGTTGATTGTTTGTGCTAGTTCATGGGCACCTGATGTTTTGATCACGAAATCTTCTCCTACACCAATGTCTTCAAGAGTTCTACCTAACTTCTCTTTCTGCTGGCTCAGTGCTTCTGCTTTAATATTTAGATCTTTAATCCATTTCAATTTTAATTTAGTGCATGGTGAGAGATACAGGTCTAGTTTTAATCTTTGGCAAGTTGAAACCCAGTTTTTCCAAAACCACTTGTTAAATTTATTTATTTATTTATTGTACTGGTGATTGAGCTCAAGTTCTTGTATTTGCAAGGCAGGCAGTGGAACCACTGAGCCAAATCCCCGGGCTGTAGCACCATTTGTTAAAGAGGCTATCTTTTTTCCAGTGAGGGTGTTTGGCTCCTTTCTCAAAGATGAGGTGGCTGGGTGTGTTTGGAGTTTTTTTGTATTTTCCAATCTGTTCCACTGGTTTTCAGATCTGTTTCTTTGCCAGTACCATGCTGTTTTTATCACAGTAGTTTTGTAGTATAGTTTCAAGTTGGGGATTGTGATACCCCTACCTTGTCTTGCCTAGAAGTGTTTTTGCTATTCTAGGTATCTTGTTCCAAATGAATTTTTGGATTGTTTTCTCAAGGTCCATGAAGCATGCTTGTGGGATTTCAATAGAGATTGCATTGATTCTATATAGCAGTTTTGGAAGTATGGCAATTTTCACTACATTGATTTTTCCTACATTGGGTTTTGTTTGTTGATCCAAATTGCTAGTCCATGTCTTTTGATTGGAGAGTTTAGACCATTCACACTGAGATTTTTTAATGAAAGATGGTGACTTATTTCTGTTATTGAATTATTTTTCTGTTGCCAATTCATTTTTTACCCCTTTCTTTCACTGCTATCTTGCCTGATGTGTTCATTCTAGTAGACTTTCTAGCAATATTAACTTTAATATCTCTGTCTATGATATCTTGAAATGCTCATTTTGTGGTAATGAATTTTTTCTTTATTTTTAAATTTTAGTTTATTAGTACATGTGTGTAGTACATAATAGTTACATTTCTTGTGAGAAGTTGGTACATGTATATAACATAACTTAATTTTTTCTGGTCATGAATTTTTAAGGTGCTCTTTGTTGTGGAAATACCCTACTTGTCCATCAATTTTGAAATATAGTTTTGCAGGATGTATTAGTCTGGAATGGAAATTTTTTTGAGGCCTTGAAACATTTCAAATCTTCCTAGCCGTTAAATTTTTTGTTGAGACATCTGCTATTGCCCTCGTGAGTTTAGCTTTATAAGTGATTTGTGGCTTTTTTCTAACAGCTTTTAAAATTCTGTCCTTGAGTTGGGCTTTGACTATGATGTGTCATGGAGAAGCTCTTTTCTGATTGTTTTTATATGCTTATATATTGAATTCTTTCTTGATGCTTGGAAAGTTTTCTGGTAGGATTTTGTAAACAGGTCTTCATGCCTTTTTTTGCCATCTTCTGATTTTTCACTAATTCCAGTTTAGCTTGCAGTAATCTTCTTTGCATCATCTATAAACCGTTGGATGGAGATCATTTTCCATAATCTCTTCTTGACTTTTAAGTTATCTCTGAGTATATAGTCACCTGCATCAGCTCTGTCTCCTGGTTCTAACACTTTGCTCATATTTATCAGTTCTAATGCCCATATTTGTAATAGATATTTTTATCTTCTGGATTTCTGTACCCCTTTGTAGGTTCTGATTCATTACTAAACTGCCCAGTCATGATTAGTATCATTTTGGTTACCTGAGCTAGCTTTTTATGTATGTCTTCTTTGAGTTCCTTGACTTCCTGGGTGTCTTCCTTTCCTGGGTTCAGTTTGCTCCAACAGTAGGAAGATTATGAAAGCTAGGGATGTTTCAAAATAATCTACATGCAAACAAATAATTACCCGGTCCAAATGCACAGTCATGCTGAGGTGGAGAGACCTTGCCTTAGCCATTCTCTTTGCCAGGAAAGGGTTAAAATCCTGAGAGAGGACATGACTTGTAATCTAGCTAATTAGTTGCAAAGACAAAATAAGAATGTAGTAATTCTGTCATGTAGACTAATAATTACAATAAATCTCAATTTTGAGTCTTCATGACTTAGGTAATATTATAGTATCACAGTTCTAAACAACTGCTTTAATTACTTCTTTGGTCAAAGCAAAGTTACAATAACCTAGTTTCACAATTACACACACCTCACACATTTGTGTGATGTTTATGCTCCCTTTTCTTTTGCTGAATCATGCCATCTCCCTGTCCCTGATAAGAAAGTGCAATATATAGACTCTCCCATCACAAGAGAGAAGAGTAAATTATGTTTCTAAATGACATTTTACTGTCTGCAGGATAGACTATTGTGCTGCACATTTTAAAATATGGAAAATTCAAAACATTTTGAAGTCTAAAAGTCACATCACATATGCCTTTGCGGATGCGCCTCCATTGGAGAAATAGAAAGTTTTGTCTAATGTCTACAACATCAATGACAACTTGAATGTGTTCTAAATGGAGTTTCGGATGGGGAGGTAATGTAATCACTCCTCCCTGAGTGTTGGCACTGAGACTTCTGCTTCCAAGGAGTCTTGTGTCTTTCTATTCAGACACTAATTCTGTCCTATGATGGTGCTACTGGGTTACATTCTCTGGTTCTCTGTTGGGACCCACCCAAAGTCACAAGGGCTGTCAAATGTCTTTGATTGGATCCACTGAATAAGTCTATTCCTATGGACAGGGACCACATGAATAGGATATCTATTCCTACAACACACACATAGCTGAAACAGAAAGTTTATCAAACATTATAAAAAGTCTTACACATTAATGAATTCAGATATATTAATGATCTTCTCCTCTTGAAAAACTGATTATAGTTCACAATTCTTTGAAAGACTCTTGTGCATACATATTTTGAAAGGCACTAACACTGGAAATAAAGTTGGCTTTTGTTTTGAATAGAACAGAATTTTAATGAGAAGCCCACTACTTACTTAGGCCAAATTACTTTAGATCAGTCTCCTCAACTGTAAAATAAGAATAATAACAACGAAATTTGCCCTCAGCCATTGTTGTAGGATGAACTGAAGAAGTATTTCGGAAAATGTCTAGCAGGTAACTGGCCATGAACAAATGTCAGCTCCCCTCCACACATCGTAAATCCGTGCAGCAACATCATTTTTACCTGGTCATAAAATAAATACAAATAGTGGAGTTTGAACACATAATTTTAAAGAATCAGCATGCTCTGCCTTTGTAAAGACTATGGACATATGAATTTCTTATGAGCCAGTCTGAGGGTTAATTTTTGGTTTGGCTTGAATATAGCCTTATATCCAAGGAGCTGAGTGACCATACTCCCTTTGTCTACCCTGTGAGCAGAAAGCAAGTGTTTTGGGGACTCTACTGAGTGCAGCCTTCTAGATAGAGGTGCCACTGAGAAAAACACTCCTTCTAGATGGATGCAGCCTCTGTGTGACTAGTTCCCTGGGGCAGATGTCATGGACACTCTCAGTAGTTCCTGTCCCTCAAGTGCCCGGAGGGAAGAAATGTTAAAGGGTAAGGTTGTGTCTTGATAATTTCTCATGCCCTGCCTTAACAGTATTTTCTCTATTGATTTCATGAATGCATGTGGCTTCAGCCTCATTCCTTTTCAATTAAATGGACAAGCAAGCACAGAAAAAAATCCAGAGAGTGCCTTTTCTATAAATGAGTCATGTGTTTCCACAATCATCTAAACTTCAGTTTTATATCTCAGGGAGGGTTGAGTGCTGTGCAGGAGGTGAGCAGGGTGCATGTCCACAGTCCAAGGCTTCCTCTTCCTCATCTTCATGACTGTGGAGGATGGTGGGCAAGGGCTGCTGGGATGTACTTGCTCAGACCTTTTGGGTTCTCTTTGCCCAAAAGCTGATCACTAGAATCCCATCCATCATCAGAAACTTCACCATCAACATTACACTTACCAAAAGTACAGTGTTGAATCTGGAGGGGACTCTGGACTAGAAAAGGAGTCTTGGTTAAAAAATTAGTGACATCTCAGAAATGTCTGGTGTTCCATTAGCGATATCATATCAGTGTGAAATCCCTCAGTTTGACAATTGTACTCAGGTTACATACAATGTTTTCTGGATAAAGGATGTTTTGAACTATAATTCAGTAACTTCAAAAAAAGTTAAAAGGACACACATTAACTTATTTTGGATGAAATAAAATGAAGTTGGGATTTGATTTAAATATTGTTGACAACTGTTAGTAAACATACCATCAAGGGGCTATTAGTTCAGTGGGGGAAGCCAGCTAGCTTATCAGAGCAGAGCAATATGATAAGGAAAGCAGAGAGGATGGCTGGGGGGAGGGACAAGGTGTGCTCCAAGCAAGAACCAACGTATGCAAGGGCTTGGCTAGAGAGAAAGGATGAAGTATAACCAATGAGAGAAGAAATGACCCTCGTAATGCAGCTGAGATCTTCCCATCTGGGGCTGGGACATCTCAGTACAGTTATGCAACTGTATTCATAGTTTCACACTTTTAACATACATAGATTATGATCTCACAATTTTCTCCATCAAGACTCATTTCCTGAAACCACTCCCCCATGGCCCTCTCTTCTTATCACCACAAGGTTTTTTCATATGCCATAAAACTTTGCAGCCTATTTTATGAAATCCTCCAGAAGCAGATTTCAAGTACCTTCTAGGGCAACCCAATGAACGCCAAACCCTTTTAGTGCATTCATAGATAACATTGAAAAGCAGCATTAGTAATTAACCATGGACTCTGGAACCTTTAGCTGTGGGAGTGGCTGCTCCCTATCGGACCCAGGCCTCTTCCAGGGCAAGAGTTGTTAAAATATTAAAGCAGCTACAGTATCCACACTCAACCAGCCTTGAAGCACTGAATAGAAGCAGCCAGAGCTTTGCTCAGGTTAGTGTCGCTTTTTTAAATCTTCATAAATGTTACCATGTCTGTTTCACTGTGTGGTGCTTTTTATGAATACCTCATGGTCTTCTGTTTTCTTTGTGTGGTCGTGGGGCAGTTGAAGCATTGTTTCTTAGTTCTTTAAGGAAAAACAATAACCAACAATTTAGAAAACTAGAAAATTAACTACTTTAGAAAGTAATTGATGATATGAGAAAAGGGAGAGTGGCGTTATTATCAGCAATCTAAAACTATAACCACAGGAGTGCAAGGAGGTGCACAGGAATTTACACTAAAGTAGTACTGGACATTAAAGAGGGGGCATTAGTGTGATTTCTACTGGAGAACACACAAAAATACTGAATTTCTATTTAGGAAGGTCACAGATTTTGGAAGTCACTTTAGCAATGAACATGGATCTGGATGGATGTATGACTCTTGTGCCTTTGAAGCCAAATGTCCAGAGTGGAAACCAATAATCTGTGCCCGCCAATCTGAATCCAAATTTACATTCTATAACTGAGTTAATGTCCATGTGGGTTCCTTTGCAATTGGCCAAGAACAGGACATTTCTCCTCCTCCTTCTCCTTCCTTCCTTTCCTCTATCTCCTGCTCCTCTTGTTCCTGCTCCTCTTTCTCCTTCTCTTTGTCTTTCTCCCTCTTCCCCTTCTTTCTCTTTCAGTGGTGCTGAGTTCAAAGGGTGGGCAGTGTTCAAAATCTCAAAATGAAGCGAATGTAAGTATATAGGTCTTTAGAATAGTAAGTCAGATGGAATTGGACTTAATTCTTGGGCAAACTGAAAAACAACAATGCCTTTCTCTTGAATTGCCATGTTCACAGTCTAATAGAAAATAGACTAATTCCCTTGATTTGCCAAGTTAATTATTCTCCTGGGCTACCAATAGGGTTATTGCTGAATCAATACTTTTAAATCCAATTTGCTTTTTTTATGTAGGCAGCTTTCATTGCTTTTAGAATTCTGTAAACAGAATTATCAGGATTATCAAAATAATCAGCATGATTCATAATGATTCATTATTTTGTTACCATAATCCTAGCTTATCAATTAATAGTCTATGCTAACTACACTCTTAAATGTTAAGCCCATAAAGGAAATGGAAAAAAACATTGTGACTCTTGAGCTACCCTGTTGTCTGATATACAGACTATGAAGTGAATTCTGCAAAATATGCTCTGATAACAAATTAGGAACTTCTCTTGTTTCCTGGGAGCTCATAATCCAGTGAATGTTTGTAGGGAGGGAACCTTGGTAGGCTGTGAAAATTCAGCAATTAGACATAACAGGAAGAAACTAGTATGAATGTCAGAAGGACTGGATTTGAATCTAAACTTTGTCACATACAGGCTAGCTGGCAATCACAACATTCCATCCATTCCTCAAAAATTTGGAGGAAGAACCAGATGATTTCTCAGATCCTCTCTTCCTCTCTACCTTGGGCAGTCCTGAAGGGAAAAAAGATGTATCTGTGAATGCAGAACAAGTACATAAGGTACCAAAGTCACCACGTAAGATGTAACATAATAAGAATCAGTAGTGTCTTGGAATCATTATCAGTATAAAAAGAATACAACTGTACTGGAAAGCTTCAGAATATAAGAGGCCCCATGAAATATAAGAGGCCCCAGGTATCTTTACCTGTGGGCAAAGATACTAAAAGGTGATGGAGAACATGCACTGCATGATGTGCTGCAGGCAGCTTCTTTATACTTCTTTATATATCCATGGGGAGCAACCCTAATGTAAATATATGAAAGGACAAAGGTGAAGGATACAAAAACAGCTGAGGCTAGGTGATGGTAAACTGGTAGGTAGAAGCCCTACAGGGCAAAAAGGACAAGTCCTTGATTCTCAACCTGGCAGCCTTCTCCCATGACTCTGTCTTGCCTAAGAGAATTACATTATTTGTGTTGAATTCACAGGAACCCATAAGGTGCAGCAATTATAGGACACATTCTGCTCTGTCAGTGTTCACAAGCCTGTGCTTTGTCTCTTTAGTGCAGAGACTAAGTCAGGCTGTTATCTCTTTCCCTACCAATCCTAATGATTGCTTGATACAGGGAAACTGCTCAATAGTTGTTAGTTAGGAAGTAATTCTTCCAAAAAGAATTAAATGTGTTATATACATGTGCCAACTGCCCATGATGAATATAATCGTTATATATGGCAAATGTGTACTAATAAAAATTTTAAAATAAGCAGATAAAGAGATAAGGAGGAAATAATGGGGTAATTGAATCCTTGTTTTCTGCTGAACTCAGTGATTTGATATGCAATCCTGATCTGACTTGCCCAGCCCCACTGCAGAGCCTGCCTTGTAATTTTTGAGTTGCTCATCCTGTCTCCCTTCTATGTACTCTTCCCTCAGGCAGCTTGGAACAGATCAGTGGCTATCAGCTACTGGTGATTTTGTGTCTTGTGGACATTTGGTAAAGAATGTTCTTGATTGTCACAAATGGGGGTGGAGAGGAGTACAACATCATGCCACTGGATGCGGCTAGTGAACACACCCCAGTGCAAAGGACAGCCACAACAAAAAGCCTTGCTCAGCACAAAATGTCCATAGTGCCGAAAGCCTTGGAACACAGCAATCACACTTTGGCCAGTCCCAGTTGGGTGTATTTCTTACACTGTACAACAACCAAGAGCACATACAGGCAGCTAAGCATAGTCATATTAATGTAACTTAAATTAAAGTATCACCAAAAATTACTTACCTTTACCACAGAAAGATGACACTCCTCTGAAAATTTCTATGACATTGGAACTTAAAGATGCTTCGCAGAACTTATGGTGTTGATTTTATAACCTGCTGATAATGATGACTCAGAGTTTGTAAAATACTGTTACAGAGAAGCTCCAAGATATTAGTGTCAAAGAAGAGTGGGAATGTCGGGTTCCTAGATCATGCAACATCACTGATATCCTCCTGTAACTTTAGAATGACAATGGTTCTATATCAAACAATTTTTATAACTAAATGAGGATAAAAAAAACAAGAAGCTGCCTGTTATGTAGCAGGTTAGTTGCAGTTTTTACAACACAGGTTACTTTCCTTTAAATAAAAGTTAAAGCAGCAATTACTTCTTTTCCAGAGTATAAAGTAAAATTCAAATCAGCAATGGAAAAGCAGAGTTTTAGTAGAAGAAAAAGCCACACACCTGCTCCTATGGGGAGAAGATAGATTGTGGCTATAGTCAGGGAGAACTAAGCCTCATTGAATATTTGAGCTGGAGAGAGACTTTGAATGCCAAAGAGCTGGACAGGGACCTTGCTCCTGTCATCTTCTCCCTGTCAGACGTCCTCTGGTTTTAAGGCCCCTTTCAGACTCCCAGGTCCCTCCACAGGATGGGACCTGTGCTGTGTGTTTATATCCTCAAAGTAGAGAAAATGGCCTTGTAAAACAGATTCAGTGTAATTTCACGCCAGCGGACCCAGGTGAGTGAGAATTTGGTCCAAGGAAGTTTCTGCGACTTCTCTAACTCTTCCATGAAGAGGTAAATACTCCTTTGTGTTGTTGGATCACTAATCATAATCATAAAGTACATTTTGCTTCTGTGTATTAATTCATTCACTCACTTGCATTTAGTGAAACCAAAAGATTCCCAATATGGCAGGGAAACCAGTTCTTCACTACTTCGATGGACGGGGCAGGATGGAGTCCATCCGGTGGCTCTTGGCTGCAGCTGGAGTTGAGGTAGGTTTTCAGTTCTTCTTATGTTGGACCTAAAACTGACTTCATCAAAACCATTTTCTAAGCAGAAGACTTTCTCCTCAAAAACCTGTGAAAAATTTTGTCATAAATAAAAATATCCCTATTTATTAAGAAAAAATAAAACAATTTGGCCAAATAAAAATATAATTATCTTTCCAGCAAAAAGCACCTAAACAAATATATTTTAAACTTAAAAGAGACTTTGTACAGTTACAACATGTAGAATTTATTTAGATTGAAACAATTATATAATTTAGGACATTTACACAGCAATTAGAAACTTGGATATTACTTGATATTAAGAATTATAGTTAATTTTAGTGTGCTTTTAGGTGTGATATTTTTGTTACTTTAAAAATTTATTATGGGCCAGGGATTTAGCTCAGTGGTTCCACCACCTTTCTTGCAAGGGCACAGACCCAAGTTCAATCCCTGATACCTATGTTGTGGAAGGAAATGGTAAGTAACACAGAGAGATGCAAGAGTGGGTTAAAAAACACACACACACACAAAAAGCATTTACTTTACTGGCAAAGGATTGGCCTGCACCAATGGCAGTGCCAATGACTGGCCCTGGGCTGGGTTACAGTCTGCCTTTTATAGGAGTTTTACAATCATGACCTAATTTTAGGTGACAAGACATTCCAGTTCCCACAGTTCCCATCACAAATCATGGTCACAAGACAGTTCAGCGTTAACCCAAATGTAGAATTTTCTTTTAGGACATCTATCTTTAGCTATTCCAGTCCACAAAAGTTAGGAAACCAGGACTGGTGACATTCCTTTCATTTTAACTCCTTTATAATCATATGATCTACAGAAAGCTTTAGGACTTAGGGCCTGGCGACTGTTTTCTTAGCTTTCACATCTGGTCTCATCCTGGGATGTGGCTAAGCACCTCCAGCATCTGTTAATTTTAAACTAGGATACATTCCTTTAAGCTTTAATGGGAAAACCTCAGGTATTTGGTTCTAAGAAACAAGCAAAGCAAAGGAAATTACAGAAACAAAAGACAGAGTGGTTATTTTATATTTCCTTAACATTTTGTAGGTTTCAGGCTGTTTGCAGAAGTTCTCTCTATCATCTAGAAGTGGTTGAACATTATGACTAGAGGAGGAGAGAAGATGGGAATTAAGATAAATCTATATTAGCTCGAGTTGGTAATTACTGGAGCTACTCGGTGACTGATAGGAGGATTTGTGTGTTATGTGTATTTTATGCATACTAGAAATTTATACAATAAAAACATATACAAAACTAAGTATAGTTAAATTTTTAAAAATGCAACTGAGAGGATAGACTGGACAGCAACAAATTTCCTGTTATAGATGGAATACATTTGTTCAACAATTATTTTATGGGGAATTTATTAAATGCCAGGCTTTGTGCTAGGTCCCAAAGATTCAAGGTGAATAAAGAAGACTTGTTACTTGCACTTTGGCAGGCTAGATGCTCTCTTAAGGTTGAGACAAGTAAGTAGCACATTTCAATAGGGAATGGGAGGGGTTACTGTCCTTTTAAGGACATTCTTGTAGCTTTTTAAAGGAAGGGAAATGCTGATAGGACTCAGTGATTGCTTCTTTCTAGAGGGATTACCGGTAAAAACTCTTCTCAGGACAGATAAGAGGTTCCTGGAAACTGAGAGAGGGGCTTCCTGGAAAGAAGATCATGAACACTATGGATGCTGCCCCTCAAGTGAAAGCAGAAAAGGAAAGGCACAGGGTGTCTTAGTTACTTCCCTGTCACTGGGACATAATAAGTGACACTGCAAATTAAAGGAGGAAAGTTTTATTTTGGCTCACAGTTTGCTGTTTTAGTCCATAGCTGACAGGCTACAAAGCAGGATGGAATGGCAGAGGAGCATGGTAGAGAAAAAGTTGCTCATGGCATGTTGGCAAGGCGAGAGAGAGAGAGAGAGAGAGAGAGAGAGAGAGAGCTCAAGGGAGAGAAGAGGGAGACCTACCCTTCCAGGTTATATGTCCAGTGACCTGTGTCCTCCAACTAGGCTTCACCTCCCAAAATCACATCTAGCTATAAACTCATCAGTGGACTAACCCAATCTTAAGTATCACACACTCATCATCCAGTCACACTGCAAAAGCCCCACCAATGCATATTTGAGACTTTAGAGAGACATCTAGATACAAGTCATAACAGTGAGGTCATGGTCTGTGAAGAGAACATTTAGTGTGCTCCACCGACTCATAGCAATGTGTCTACTTAAGCGTGAGGAACACCCTTATCCATCCTTCATAAATGTATGATTCTTTATAATATAGTGAAAATGGCCATACTTGCAAAACTGCTATATAGAATCCATGATATCCCAACTGAAATTCGAACAGCATATTTCACAGACTTTGAGAAAACAAACCAAAGATTCATTTGGAACAAGCAGAGACCTAGAATAGCAAAAGTAATTTTAGGCAACAAAGACAATTTGGGGATGTCACAATCCCCAACTTGAAACTATACTGTAAAACTACTATGATAAAAAACAGCATGGAACTGCAAAGAAACAGACCTGAGGACCAGTGGAACAGATTAGAAGATGCAGAAACAACTCCAGACACACTCAGCCACCTATCTTTGACAACAGAGCCAAACACCCTCACTGGAGAAAAAATAGCCTCTTTAATAAATGGTGCTGGAAAAACTGGGTTTCAGCTTGCCAAAGATTAAAACTAGACCTATATTTCTCACCATTCACTAAACCAAAATTGAGATCAATTAAAGATCTAAATATTAAAACAGAAATGCTAAACTGGCTGGAAGAGAGGTTAGGTAGAACTCTTGAAAACACTGGCATAGGAGAAGATTTCATGAACAAAACCTCAGTTGCATGTAAACTAGCACAAACGATCAACAAGTGGGAATGCTTATTAAACAGCTTCTGCACAGCAAGAGTGGTCATGATCAGATACCTCTGTGTACACTTCCAGACTCAGAAAAATTTTTTTTTTTTTTTTTTATAATGGGGATTGAACTTGGGTCCTTGTGCTTGCAAGGCAGGCCACCGAAATGCTGAGCTAAATCCCTGGCTCTTAGACTCAGAATTTAAAAATTTTTTATGTTCATTACATCGCTTCAAGTACTGTTCAGGTTTACAAGACTATAATACTATGGAATTAACTAAGAAGTATTTTTTTTACATTTTCTTCCAGTTTGAAGAAAAATTTATAAAGTGTCCAGAAGATTTGGAAAAGTTAAAAAATGGTAAGATCAAGTGCCTAAATGTTTCTGATGAGGGTTTGCAATATGAAGTTTTAACACTGTTGGCCAGCTTTCCTGATGCTGAGGCGCAATACCTGATGTGCAGAACTTAAGGGAAAAGAGATTTAATTTGGCTATTGGTTTTGTGATACAGCCCATGGCTGGCTGGCTCCAAGGCATAAACATAATGGCAGAAGGGGATAGCGGAGCAAAGGTGCTTAGTTCATGACAAGAGGGAACAGAACACAGAAACAGTGCCAAAGAGGAATAGGCAACAGGCCAAGCACAGTACCCAAAACTGCAACTCCACAACCCACCCAGACGCACCTGGGAGCATGGTCTACTGCTAGGCATTTCTTAATCCAATGAAGTTGACATATCATTATTAATGGTCACAATGCACCCTTTGTCAACTTTACAACCAAATAATTTTCCATGTTTAATCTTCAAATAAAGAAAATACCAAGTTCACAATTCAAGCTGATGTAATATAACTATTCCACATACACTTGGAAACATAATTCCTTCTCTAAAGTCTCAGTACCTCCTGCAGTCCAACTTCAAATCTCTTCTGAGACTCAAGGCAAACTTTTAGTTATGAACCTCTGTAAAAATAAAAAAAAAACTAGTTAGACAATCCCAAGGTACAATGGCACAGAGTTAACATTCCTATTCCAGAGAAGAGATATAGGGGGCATAGAAAAGAGCGGGATCACATTAAAACAGAAATCCAGAAGGCTGAACATAGAGTCCAGTAGCTCTGCATCTGGCACCTGAGAATTCTATGGTAAAATGTAAGTTCTGAAGAACTTGGGAGACCCATTCATATGGACTTGTCAGGTATAGGTCACATGGCTTCTCTCTTGAGCCAGTTGTACTCATGGCCTAAAGTTTTTCTTAGTTAATGTTTCATGACCCTGACATCTTTAACTTTCTGGGATCTCCACTGTAACTTTGATTTCCATTGCTTAACATAACAGCCCTATCAGGAAGTCCTTACATATCTTCTCAAGCCTTCCCTCACGACCTCACAGTTCTTGCATTCTGCATGTCAGTAAAACCAGCATCTGGTGGACAATACTGAGGGTAGCTGCCAGCTGGAGCAATCGCCATGCCCCCTTGGACCATGGCTTCAGTGGACTCTTGAGAGTCTGGATGACTGAGCACAGTGAAATCAATGTTAGGGAACTAATTCCCTAGGAGGATCTTCTTGAGCAGACAGCCCAAATATTCACTCCTCAAATGAAAGATTTAGTTTTAGACCTTTGAGCCTACAATAGGTGTTGATTTCTCAGATCCTCTCAAGGCATTTTTTTAGATAGGGTCTATCTAGTTGAGGCTGGCCTTGAACTCACTATGTAGCCCACACTGGCCTTGAATGCACAGTTATCCTCCTGCCTAAGCCTCCAGAATGCTAGAATTACAGACATGCAGCACTCTACCAAGCTCAAGGCATCTTCTTGTCCCTATACAAAATACTTGAATCTTTTTAATGGTGTTCATCTCTTTATCAGCCACATATTTTGGGGTCTAACTTACATGTGGTTCCTTTTGAGCCAAATTTACATTTTTCAAAATTTTCTGCACTGCCTTTTGTTCCCAAGTCTCATTATGCATCTGGCTAAAAGCAGCTACCAGGGCATATGCAAGAGCATGAATGTTGAGCTGTCTTGCAATATCTTTTTGCAAGATTAATCTATTGCTATTAATCTCAGTCTCCTGTAAAGTCTCAGGACCTGGGAAAAATATAAACAATTTTTCTGCCAAAGTGTAATGCACATGGTCTCTAGTACAACTACCAATGGAGTTCTTGTTCCCAACTGAAATCTCTTAAGCCTGGTCTTTATTGTTTGCATTCATATCAGCATTTTTTTTTTTTTAGCTCCAACCAGATTCATCCATCAAGCTCTGCTTAAAAAATTCTAAGGTTTTTCTAGGCCTTTCTGAACATCCCCAAACTTTCAAACTCCTGCCACAAAGCTGTTCCAAAACCTTCTAAACTACATGGCCAGGCATAGTTACAGCAATGACCCCACTTCTTCAGTGCACATTTCTTGCATTAGCCAGGTTATCTGTTGCTGAGACACAATACCCAACATCCACCTTAGAGGAGGACAGGTTTAAATTGGTGCCTGGATTCAGTCAATGAATGGTCAGCTGGCTTCAAGGCCTTAAGGGTCTGTTGGAGCAAAGATGCTTAGTTCAGGGTGGCCAGGAAACAGAGAAAGAGTACAGTACCAGAAAGGAATAGGTAAGGGCTCATATATAGTACCCAAGGCCACATCTTTGAGATGCACCCAGACATAGCCAAGAGGAAGCTTTATTATTCTGCTAGACACGTCTTTTTTCTGCTAGGCATTTCTTATCCAATGAAATTGAGTGTGTAACAGAATTCACACTCACAAATGCTCACATGTTGTAAGCGTGGTAGTGGGGATGATGGAGAAGAAGCAAAGGTAAAATATGAGATGTAGCTTCTTTTTATTGAGTTTATTAGTACTTTTTAAGTATACAGTACAGTTACATTCATCACTGGAGATGTAGCTTCTTGAGGAGCTCTTCCAATTCTCTCAGGAATAAAAAAAAAAAAGGCAAGATCTCTCTATTTGTCCCTAAACAACTCCCACAGCTCTGTAAATGTTCTCTGCTTGTTTTATATATGAGCTATAGTCAGTTCATGATCCCACAATATTCACCCACTGATATACATGCAAGAAAATGCATCAGGTAACAGGAGAGAAATATATCATGAGCTTTTTCATTTATGGTTTTTGGGGAGTGGATATCCCAGCAACAATGCACACTTGGAAGAACACAGGTTGACATCACTATGTAGAAACCTTTCTTAAAATCTTTGATAAATATCATGACCATATGAAGGTTACTCTCGGAGCTCACCTCTAAACATTCTGATGGCATTTGTCTTAGTTTCTTCGCTTATTGCTGAGACAAAGTACCTGACAACAAAAGTTAAGAAAGAAAGGTTTATTTGAGTCACAGTTTGTAGAGGTTTGGTTCCTTAGTCAGCTGACTCCAAGGCAGAGTGGGATGGCAGAGGGGCATTGCAGAGGAGAAACAGTCAAGGATAAAACAGGGCAGGCAGAAGGTAGCATCAGTGAAGTACGAAGCAGCAAGTGATCCTCTTTTTGTCCTTTATATTATATCTAGGCCACACACTGTTAGAGTGGAGAGCACTCACACCAGTGTGGGGCTTCCCATTATCCACATTCAGAACTATTCCAACCCAATCAGTGGACTAATTTAGTAATCATACACCTGTAATCCTGGTCTCACACACTGTAGATCCAGCCACCTGTGAAAAAGCCCCTCCTATGACTACATGAGTCTTTAGACACAAGCCATAACAGTATGCATGAAGGCGAATAAAACACAAAGAAAAATATGAGAGATATTGTATGTATGTAGATGGGAAATGAAAAACAAATGAATAGGTTAAAAAGCAAAAGAAAGGTTGATAAGAAAATGAAGGACTACATGAAGTTAAGAACAAAATGCTATTTTACCTAAAGATAACCAAGTAATATCCCTCCCCCTTTTAAAAAAAGTCATTTGCACAAATATATTCTCTTCTACAACCACTGGGACTCATAAGCATTTCACCATCTTTATATTTTCCCTTTTCCAATAGATGGGCTTTTGATGTTCCAGCAAGTACCCATGGTGGAGATGGATGGGATGAAGCTTGTGCAGTCCAGAGCCATTCTCAACTACATTGCCACCAAATACAACCTCTATGGGAAAGATATGAAAGAGAGACTCCTGTACAGTACATTTTTGGTTCTTCCATGAGTATGTGATACAGGGAACATTTAGGTCCCATGCTAACTGAGCAGGACCATGCTAGGAAGATCATTTGTAGAAACTGTTTAATTTCTTCTTTAATTTCCTCTGTGACCCATTAGTTGTTCAGGAGGATGTTACTCAATTTCCATGTGTTTGTGAAGATCTTGCGTTTTCTTATGCTATCGATTTCCAGCTTAATTGCACTATGGTCTGAAAATACACAGGGGATAACTTTGATTCCTTCGAATTTACATAAGCATGTTCTATGAGCTATCATGTGGTCTATTTTGAAGAATAACCCATGTGCAGCCAAAAAGAATGTATATTCTGATTTTGTGGGGTGGAACACTCTGTAGACATCTATTAAGTCCATTTGTTCAAAGGCTTGGTTCAGTTCTAGTATTTTTTTTTTGTCAAGATGATCTGTCTATTCATGCCAGTGGGGTATTGAGGTCCCCCACTACAGTTGTATTAGTGCTTATTTGGTTTTTCATGTCCATTAATATTTGTTTTGTATAGTTGGAGGCATTAGTATTTGGTGCATATATATTTATGATTGTCATCTCTTCCTCTTGAATGTTCCATTTATAAGGATGTAGCGGCCTTCTTTGTCTCTCTTAATTAATTTCAAACCAAAACCTACATTGTCTGCAAACAAGATAGCTACCCCCACTTTTTTCTGGGCTCCTATTGCATGAAGAACTGTTTTCCATCCTTTTACTTTTAGTCTATGAATTTCTTTGTGAATTAAGTGGGTTTCTTGTGTACAGCTTATTGTTGGATTTTGCTTCTTAATCCATTCTGCCAGTCTATTTCTTTTGATTGGTGAATTGAGGCCATTAACATTGATGGTTATAACTGATATGTACTGACTTATCATGTCATGATATTTTTCTGTTATTGGCTCTTTTATTTTTTATTTTTCCCCCCTCTCACTTTAATTTCTTGCCTTGCCTGGTATATTTGCTTTGTCGGGCCTTGAGGAGTTGTGAGTTTCATTGTCCTATTCCAGGATATTGTTTAGAATTGTTTGGAGTGCTGGTTTGGTATTCATGAAATTTTTCAGGTGTTCGCTGTCATGGAAGTATCTTATTTTCCCATCAATTTTGAAAGATAGTTTTGCAGCATAGATCAGTCTAGGTTAGAGGTTGTTTTCTTTTAGGGCTTGAAATACCTCACTCCAGGCTCTCCTTTACTGGAAGGTTTGTATTAGAAAGTCTGCTGTGATTCTGATGGGCTTCCCTTTGTATGTGATTTGTTTCTTTTCTCCAACTGCTTGTAGAATTCTGTTCTGCTGGGTTTCCAGGATCTTGATTATTATATGTCTAGGTGTAGATTTTTTTTTTCATTTTATGGAAGTTATATTTACACTCAAAGCTAAACTTTATAGTTGAGCTTATATTTCAGAAATAGTTCTTGAAGTTCTCGCTTCCGCAGCACATATACATAAATAGTCCCTGAAGAGTTATAAAAGACATTTCAAAACAGTAATTGCAGAAAATAAAGTCAAATACAGTTTTATTTTCAGTTAACTGGAAATTCCTCTTATGGTGGGATGTCATAATGAGCATATCACATTGCAGATATTTATTTATATTTCTACTTAAGTAAACTTTATTTTGAATCAGCTATTCTCAAGTTTAGCTCAATTCTTTTTGTGTCTGATAATTTTGAGAACTCAGAAAAAAAAAGATTTATTTGCACTAGGTCTAGATCCTTTGAGCAGAATTTCCTTCACAACTTCTGGTAATGTGTTATCAAAGTCAATAATCGTGTTAAAACTTGCATAACATTGTTGACAGATAATATAAAAATATATTTATTTTATCTCATATTTAATTTTAAAATCCTGTACTTTAGCTGTTGTGACTGAATGCATCCTTACAGAAATTGAGCAAACTTTATTTATATATCCTCAATTCAGAAAACCTTTAATTATTATTATTTTTGGGGGGGTACCAGGGATTGAACTCGGGTCCTTGCGCTTGCAAGGCAGGCCACTGAACTGCTGAGCTAAATCCCCGGCCCAGAAAACCTTTAATTATATATTTTCATTTCAAAGAGAAAACTTATCCTAATTTAATGATATTAAATTGACTTTGATGTTTGAAAAATTAATAAAATATCAGGTTTTGGGAATGTAAGCTAAGTATATAAAATTAACACTTTTTGCTAATATTTTATATTGAAATATATTTTGTTTTAAAAATCACAAAAATATTACTTTATTTCAAAGGTAGCTATCTTTTAGAAGAAATACATATGTAAATAGGAAAAAATTGATATATTTAATCCATAATTACATAATTCTGTTGATTTATAACTTGATATATCAAAAATGTCTGCAATTAATTTGTAATTGCCACCATTACAAAGAAGTATCTAAGTAAAAACAGGTTGTATGGTATTGCATTTATGCCCTGTGTTAATTCATTTAATAAACAACTGATATTTGTAAAATATTTTCAAACTTAGAAAAATACAGTTATTAATATGGATTAATTCAATTAGATTTAACATTTCATAAAATATTCCTGTTATACACTTAAGTGTAACTGGATCAATAAACTAACTTGCACAGAAAGTGAAGATTTTCACATTAAATTTATACTTGTTTTACACTTACTAAGAATGCCTGAAAACATTTTGGAAAAGACTAATGGTCTTGACTATTCATGGCAACAACCGACTGCAATTTTCTGCCTCTGTTTTCAATTTTGTTAAGTAGTTGAGTGTTAAGTTCTACTTTTCTTATTATCTTCAAATAGACTCCTCAGCATATAAACTTGAATGGCTGACAACATCACCATGACAACTAAATTAACTATAGACCAGGAAATAGCTCTATTAAGGTTGCTTTCTTATATGCTTCAATCACGAGCTTCAAATGCTCTGAGTTTATAAGTGAACACTTGCTTACTCTGGACTTGATGCTGTTGATGGATTTCAGGATGTCTTCTAGTTTTATCTCCAATATATCTGTACCAGTAATATTTTTCATCCAGTCTTCTTGTTCTTGTGCCTGTTCTCCCATATTATCCAGGATTAATTCAAAGAAAATTACTTTCTCAGAAATGGTGCTGAATGTATTGTCAAAGCAGAACATGTAATCACTAACCTCAGTTTCTACAGTGTGAACTCCATCTTATTTTCTTTGTTCAAAGACTAAAGTTTTGCCTTCTGGAGAGGCAAGATGGAAATCAATATCTAATCCTGCTCTAGCTGAAATTTGGTACTTGATCTCTAGAGAGGCCTTCAGCAGCATGCACTGGTAGAAACACTCCTCCTGGCCAGCCAGAAAGATAAAGGTAAAGTCGCTGTCTAAGGAAGCGGCCACCCCCAGAAGTAGCTCTAGTGGCAAAGTGATCAGGAGGAGCAAGGGGAAGGGCAGCCATATTTTGTTGCCAGTCCTAGCTGGGGCAGTATCAGGCAGAAGGCTGTGCGAAGATGTGGGACACTGGTGCCTCGGCTCCACTTTTCCTCCCTAAACTCCTTGCAGCAGGGGAGCCCGGAGTCTAAGAAAATTTTAGGTGGTGGCCACAGTAGCAGTGGCAGTGGCAGCAAGTGATGTCCTCTGAAGGGAAGAGCATAGATTTTTTTTTGATCATGACTATTTGGAGTCCTATATGCCTCACTTATCTGTATGTCAAATTGTTTCCCTTCTTTTGGGAAGTTTTCTGTCATTAATTCTGTGAGCAGTTTATTTTTATTTTTTTGTAATTTGTACTTTCTCCTGCTTTTTCATGAATTCCTATAAGTCTTATAATCTTCTTCTTCTTTGCATCATCTAGGAGCTGTTGAATTGATTTCTCATGGTCCCTTACTATTTTTAAGAGATCTCTGTTGTCATGGTCACTGACCACCATCCTACCTTCTATATCTGATATTCTATCTTCACATCCACTCATTTTGCTGCAAATACTTTAAATAAAATATTTAATATCCTGGATATATATTTGAATCTGTTTCATGGATTCCATTTCTTTCCTATGTTGTGTTTTCATGGTTTCTATTTCTTTCTTATGCTGGGCATTCACAGTTTCCATCATGGTCCTGAGCTCATCTATTTTTTTAAAATCTGTTCTAGAGTCACTAATCATTTCTTTCATTCTGCTCACCATCTCTGTGGTTATCTGGGAAATTATTTGTTTTGAATTTTTCTAGAGCTTCATTCATCTATTTTGTTACTTCCTATGCTATCAGTTCAGGGTGTCCAGGTGGGTGACTGTCAGACTTCTCCACCTCATTTTCCCAAGAATATGCCTTTGGTGAGCTGGAAGTCTGTGTTTTTGCCTTGCTTAAATGTCTTTTCATTTCCATTTTTGTTGTTGGTACTGTTCTTCATTTAATTCCTGGGTTAATACTTTGATCTTCAAGATATAGCTGGTCTTTAGGTTTTGAGTTTCTAATTACTCTGAGACACTGTCATTTTCATAATACCAGGAAGGAAAACTGATTAGATCAATCACAACACCTTAGCCCAAGTGATACGTTATCTCTCTCCCTCCCTTCCTCTCTCCCTCTCTCTCCCTCTCTCTGAATTTCCCTATGGACTGTGGTAAGAGGTAAATATTAATGTATAAGTAAAACTCATAGTGTAATGATTAACATACACAAAGTACCCACTGAAATGAGTTAGTTTGCCTAATGCTCTTATTCACTGATTTTAAACCATAAAGTCTAAGAAAGAAACATTTGACTGGATGTGTTTGTCTTTCAGGATTGATATGTATACAGAAGGCATCATAGATTTATATGAAATGGTCTCACATCTGCCACTGACTCCTCCAGATCAAAAAGATACCAAGATGGCTTTGATCAGAGACAAAACAAAGAATCATTACTTCCCTGTCTTTGAAAAAGTAGGTGACGCTGATCAGAGTTTGGGGTCACTGAGTTTAGAGGTCTGGAGAAAAGCTGGGTTCTCCTAGAACTTTGATGTTCCAGCAAGCCCTCAAAACACCAGCAGGGAAATAGTAAGGCTCAGGGAAATATCTAAAAGTGGACCAGGAGGAGGCATTATACGGTTATACCAAAGATAGAATTTTTGAGCCAAAGTTCAACATCTTATGCCCCAACCTCGGATTTACCATTTTGCAGAATATTATGTTCACAAGGAAAACTTAGTGAGTGGAAGACTCTGAGCCACTTTTCAGGTCATGTGGATCCTACAGAAGGCCCTGAGCTTGCATTCTAGAGCCACCTGATGAGAACAGCATGTCACAAAGTATTCTGACCTGGGTGTAGAGAGACATGAGAGCAGATGCCAATTTGAGAATATTGTAGTGTTTTAGGGATGAATATGAAGACTCTAAACAAGGAGAGATGGAGAGGAGTAGATGTGAAGAGATAATAAGAAAAACACTACAGAATTTGGGAATATGGCTCTCAGTCTTGAGAAGAAAACCATCCAAACTGAACATATAAAGGTCCATCATTATAAATGTAATCTCTACCTTAGTTAAGATTTCTTTGTGAAGGTTAAGCAAGGATATTTCAAGAAAAAATACCACTTGAACTTAAGCTGAATAAAAATAAAGAATCAAAAAATGATTATAAGGAACATAGAACTACATAAATAAATTAGAGAACTAACCCATCAATACTCATTTCACTTATTCTCCTCAATAAAAGTTAATTCATTGCTGGCTTACCCAATGAAAAGAATGGTAATTTTAAGATCAAACACACCATTCTATCCTTGTGGTTTAGAACACATCACATGGTGAAAGGTTCTCTGGCAGTTTAAATCATGTACTCTATGATATCTAAAAGCTCCATGCAAAAATAAGTTATGTATATTACAATAAGGTGTTTGCTGTTGTATTCTGTTTTTGTACCAAGGGTTTTTACTGACATCTTTAAGAGTTTCTCTTCAGAAGATGTATCCTGTGTATTTTTGCTTTATTTTTTACTTATTTTTTTGAGTTTATTGGTACTTTTTAGGTATACAGTACAGTTACATTCATCACTGGGATCTTGTACCTTAACATGATAGGTCTTGGTTCTCATTTTCTCCCCATACCCCTGCCCTCTCTTCACCCCTTCCACCCTTCCTATTTACAAAAGCTTTGTTTCCATTTTTTCATTTTCTCATATTTTTTTATTTTCCCTTATTTCCTTTCCCCTACCCTTCCCACTTCCCCTACACCTTTAATTTTGCTTTTTAATTGCTCTGATTTCCATACTGCTGGAGTACTTTTAAAAATAGTCACATACCTTGCTAGGATTTTACTATATGAATTTTATACATCCACAAAGGTTGAAATAATATTGAATGAATGCATAGTCATCACCCAGATATGTTACCTCTATCATGTGTCCAAGTCTCTTACTCCTCTATCAGTCAAAGATAGAACTTTCCATGCATTACGAAGTTGCAGATATCAGCATTATCCATTGCTAGGGAACTTCCATGAAGATTATACCAGTCTAAGGAAGGAGTCGGAGCCCATCTTGCAAAGGAATTGATAAATTCAAGTTAACCCCGGTTTATCTCAGATCCCAGAGAGATGAAAGGAAGTGAGAATAGAGATGAGAACCCTTCGCATTAATGGCACTAAAGTGGTCGGCACATGCATGAAGGGTGCTATTGTGAACGTGGAGTGCTGCCCACAGAAGATGGCACACAGAGAGCCGAGAGGAGCTCTAAGGATTCAGGGCTGCTCCTCCCAGCTTGTGGACAGATGGAAATGTGGGGCAGCCGGAGCTGAGCCCTTGGCACATGTAGAAAATGTGGAGAAGGATGGTCAGTATGTGCAAGACAATGAAAGGGGTGCCTGGGCTCTAACACAGGAGTGAGCAAGGCCTACTTCTCAACCTCCCTCAGGAGGCAGGGCTCTGAAAAAGGTCTGGAGCTCCACACCCATCAGGGAAGCAGCAGGATAGCAGAGTCAGGCTGAGAGGCCCAGGGGGAAGCAGGGGTCCCAGTCTGACTGTGCCTGCATTCACAGTCTGTCTTCTCAAATTCTGCAGGTGTTAAAGAGTCACGGGCAAGACTACCTTGTTGGCAACAAGCTGAGCAGGGCTGACATTCACCTGGTTGAACTTGTCTACTCTGTTGAAGAGGTTGATGCGAGTCTTTTGGCTGACTTCCCTCTGCTGCAGGTGACTATTCCACTGCCCTCACAGAGGTGGCCCCACATCTCCCACAGCGAATCTCATATTTGGTTCCATGGTGTGGTTCTGACTCCAGCCTCCTTCAGGTCTTCAACCCCTTCCTCCATGCCTCCAGTGACCTTCTAGACCTTGGATTTGTGGCATACAGATAATTATTTGTGCAAGGAAATAAGAGCTGAATGCTGCTCCAAGAATATTTATCCATATAAGGAGTAGAACCAAGGTCCTGCATCTTTCTCACTGCCTCCTCCCTTCATTCCCCGTGGAACTTGCTCCTGATCTATGTGGGATTCCCTTTATCCCAGATGTCCTTGTCTTTGCATATTGAGTCCATTTGAGTAGGCATTTATCCATTTGATTACCTTCCCTCAACTAAAGCTCCCATTGTCAGACATTGTATTATTGTGTCCATAGCTTCCCACCCTGTAAACCTGACCTTCACCCAATACCCATCAATACCATTAGTGTGAAAGTTGGTTCTGTCTGGCCCCTGATTAATATTTTCTATCTTCATTTCCAACCCAGTCTTTCCACTTCTACCTTTGTTCAAGTACATCTCTCTGCTTCTGTTTGACAGACACGCTGTTCTTCATGTTACAAAGAAAATGGATGACAAGAGCACATGTCTAAAAAGGATAGAGCACTAATGTCTAGAATGTATAAAGAAATAAAAATATAGGCTCCCCAAAATAAAAGACCCAATCAAAAGATAGGCAACTGAAACAAGCAGACCCTTCTCAGAAGTATAAATAGCCACTAAATCCATGAAAAAAATATTCAACTTATCTGGCCATTACAGAAATGCAAATGAAAACAATATCTTACTCTAGAAAGAATGGCTGTCATCACAAAAATCCAATAACAAATGATAGCGAGGCTGCAAGGAAAAGAAATCCTACAATGTTGATGGGAATATAAACTAGTACAACCATGATGGAAATCCTCAAAAAAGTGAAACTAGAAATTCTGTTTGACCCAGTTATTTTCTTGTAGGGTATCTTCCTGAAAGAGGTAAAGATATCATTGCAGTGATACATGCATATTTATAGGAGTACAATTCATGATAACTAAATCTTGGAGACAGTCTATATGTCCATCAACAGATGAATACATAAAGAAAATATGGTATTTATACACAATGAAGTACTATTCTGCAATAATTAAGGATTAACTCAAATCATTTGTAGGAAAATGGATGCACCTTGACAGCATAATATTAGGTGAAACTAATAAAACACACAGCTTAACTGTTGTGATTTCTCTTATACGAGTAATCCAAAATATAAATGAAGAGCAAAATAAAAGACAGGTAATAGGAAATAGAAAGATAGATCTTTGCAAAATTGGAAGAGCATCAAGAGAGATAGGGAAATGTGAGGGAGGAGAGCAGAAGGAGATAAAAACAGAATTTGTCTGTCAGTTGCACATACCAACTCCCCACAATGACTGTGATCATTACATATCGCAGACATATCAATAAAATTTTTTAAAAAGCAGGAAATACTATGACTTCAAAAAAAATTTTAAAGGTGTTCAAGGAAGATGCTATTGAGTCATCCATTCTCCCTCTTTTATTCTTTATCAATTAAGTGTGTTTCCAGCTCCACACTGGACAACAGAAGCACTCGGTTGGTCTTTTTTTTCAGGGAGTTGGGGAAATATTTTCAGTGTGTTCTAAAAGTTGATTTTAACTTTAAGATCCACCACTGAGACTATAACTTGTGTGTTGCAGGCTCTAAAAACCAGAATCAGTAACCTGCCTAATGTGAAGAAATTTCTGCAGCCTGGTGGCCAGAGGAAGCCTCCTGTTACTGCAAAAATGATAGAAGAAGCCAGAAAGATTTTCAAGGTTTAGTTAAGTTGGCCTTGACCAAGCCCATGGGAAACAAACATCTAAAATTTTCAATAATGAAATTATTTGAGTAAAGGTTGACCATTATGGGATATTATGGGATAATATGCCATTTCTGAATACATATGATAATTGCATAATAACATTCCTCTGAGAAGTCTTAAACCTTTTTTACATTAAGATCTGATATGTAATTAGATTTTGAATGTCCTTTCCTTGGAAATAAAATTTTTACTTTAACAATGTGGATTATATGGTTTGCTTTACTTTTCCAAGAATTGTCCTATGATATCACTCAGTCTATTAGAAAGTTTACAGATTTGTATTTGACCTCACACATGCACAGAAAATAACTTTTTCTGGTCAATAATACAATGAAGTTTTCCAACACCCCATGTGCTAGATACACACATCCCCTAATGCTTCACAAAGAATAGAGCTTTTCCCTCTGCTATTAACCTTCATCCAATCATTGAAATCCTTACAGTAAGTTTCTTCAAAAAGCCAGTCTGTGACGATTTACTGAGAGAATCAACTGAATATGATTAACCTTTGATTTGGGTGCTTTGAAAAGGTACATTTATTTTTTTTACTTGAGTTTATTGGTACATTTTAGGTATACAGTACAGTTACATTCATTTTTGGGATCTTGTACCTTTACATGACAGGTCTTGGTTCTCATTTTTTCCCCTTGTCCCTGCCCTCCCTCTCCTCCCCTCCTGCTTTACAAACAATTCATTTCCATTTTTTCATTTTCTAATATTTTTTTCTTTTCCCTCATTAGCTTTTCCCTACCCTTCCCACTTTCCCTACACCTTTAGCCCTTTTCTTCGTATTTCACATTGTCAATTATCTCATTAGGATCTTATGTACCATTATAGTTTTTCACACCAGAGAAACTTCGATATTTGCACATGTAATTTATTTATTTCACTTAGGAGTATAACCTCAATATGTATCCATTTCCCTATGAATGAATCTAATTTCTCATTCTTTATGGCTGAGTAGTATTCCATTTTATAGAAAAACCACATCTTCTTTATCTAGTCTCCAACTGATGGGCAAATGGGCTGTTTCCAAGTTTTAGCTATTACAAACTGTGACGCTATAAACATAGGTTCACATATATCACTGTGATATGATTCTTTTAATTCTTTTCGAAAGATACCCAGCAGAGGGATGGTTGGGTCAAATGGAACCTCAAGCCCAGTTCTTTGAGGTATCTTCATATTGATTTCCATAGTGGTTACACCAGTCTGCACTCCCACCAACAATGGCAAAGGGTTCCTTTCTCCCCAACCCCACCAACATTTGTTAATTGTGTGATTTCTTGATAGCAGCCATTCTTTTTGGGGTGAGGTGGAATCTCAGTGTTGTTTTCATCTGCATCTCTCGAATGACCAGTGATGTGGAACATTTTTTCATATATTTACTTGCTGCTTTTACTTCTTTGTCTGAGAAATGTCTGTTCATTTCAGATGCCCATTTTTGAATTGGGTCTTTATATTTAGGGGGGCTGATGAAAAGGTGCATTTAATCCAATTCTTTTGTGGGAATAGGATGACTTGTAATTCTTCTTGCAGTCCAGTATGGAAACTTGTGGCATCTTAATAGAGGAAGGGACTTTTACATCATTGTACTCTACCCTCTTTAGTGGAAAGGAGTTTCTCACATGAGTAAATGGCACAAAAATCCATCAGAGTTCATATCGAGCTGTGGAGCCGAGAGAGAAATCCTTTAATAAGGTCAATATTGATCACACCCTCCCATTCAGGTAACTAGAAAAATACCTTACATTGTATCCTTAGCTCAAGACAAAGTCTGCTTTATACTCAGGTCAAGGCCTTGTTGGTATATAGAATTAATGATTTAGAATTGTTCATTGAGCTGCTTTGGGGTACATTACTAAAGAGATGTAAAAATGAAGAATTTGAAAACTACACCATGAAAATTCAATGATGTGAGAACAATAATGTATGAAAATGAGATGCAGCATGTTAAACATTCTATGCCCAGTGCAAAGGGAGAAGGTATGTTTATGCTGAAATTACTATCTATAGCAGTGGTGATGAGATGGTCATGAAGTGAAATTTGTCTAGATCACGATTGGAAGCTCCAACTGACCAGCGATGGTGACCTATATCTGCATGGTTCATGCCTTCAAGTGCTTCTCAGCCTCTGCTGCCTATGAGAGAGGAGATATCCAATGCCTACTACACTCTAGTCTAATGTACAGCTAGATATTATTTAATACACAGTAGGTCTTTCCTTTGTCAAAGATGCTCTGTGATTTGTTAACATACATTGATGTCATTGGCTTTTTTATATTTATTTAATGTCAAGTGTGCATCACTGTCAGGTAGAATTTTTATAAACAAGTCCTATATAAATGATTTTAACAAAATTAAAAAGTAATTCTCTTATTGTAAAATGTCTTGTTCTCAATCCAACAAGTACTTCTTAATCCTTGCACTTCACCCAATTCAATATTTGCTTCAGTTCTCTGCTCTTTACTCTTTTCCTTTTTCATTCTGTTTATTCAGTGGGACAGACTCAGTTCTTTTATTAATCCAGTTGAAACTGCACAAAACTATGTCTCATAGGATTGGTTGACCCAGTGTTGTGGTTATTTTTTAATGTTTCTGTACTACTCATTCTTACCAAGAATGTTTAAAGAAAAACTTGTACAACCTGAGTGACCACTGAAAAATCTCACAGTGCTATTCAAGCTATCAAAGCATCAGTGATAGTGGCATACGACTGTGTCCAAAACACTAGGATAAGAAATACCATGGATCTGTACAAAGGTAGAGTAGGTACAGGTAGCAGTTGAAGATTTACAATTGAGACAGCATCATAAATAAGCAAAAGGGCATCAAGGATTTCTTTTAAAAGCAAAACCCAACACACACAGACACACAGACACACAGACACACACACACACACACACACACACACACACAAATGTACATCACCATTACTTCTATGATCTCTTGGGAAAAGTCCAAGATACAACACAACTTTAACTATAGATATACCATATGTTTCTAAAATCTATTCCACACTTAAGATTGTACTTTAGTGTCACACTCAGTCTGAGGGAAGTTGATACCAACTCAAACCTGAGGCTCTTCTCAGTCATTTTTGGCAGCTTTAAGTAAAAAGAGCATCCTATCAGACATCATCTCCCAGCTTGGCTTATAGTGACAATCTCTTTGGCACCACTATGAAGTTTTTCTTTTTCCTTTTTCAAACTAGAATTTTTTAAAGATAGCATCTCACTAGATAGCTCATGCTGGGTTTGAACTATGTAGTCCAGGCTGGAATCAAACTTGTCATGATCCTCCTGCCCCAGACTCCAAACTGCTGGGATTCTAGGCATATGCTATCATGCTTGGCATCCTGTTGATAATTTCTTAAAGTCCTCCTTACGGGTGAGAAACTGAGTCCCTGAGAGAGGGAATGATCTTTCAAAGGACACATGTGCCAGTGGGAGAGCTGGAATGGGTCTCAGACTCATGTCCATTTTGAGCCTAAAACTGCCTGGCACACTAAAAGTTGTAACTATTCCTCAAAATGAAGTGATTTGAGCCAAAATATTTTCTCCCTAGAATTATTACTATTCCAGATACACACACACACACACACACACACAAATTATCTGCCCCTGCCTTCAATAATCCTCTTTCCTAATTTCTTTCATTAATAATTGAACATTTACATGTCAGAGACGATCTGCATATACAGAGAAGACACCAAAATTAAAGAAACAGGTTTAAAACAAAATGTCTTTTATTTGAATATTGAATACATCCTGTTGGGATGCAGTGTGCTGAGAATGGAATTCTTAAAAGAAAGACAAAACTGGCAGCATATACAATTAAACTGGGAAAAAATAAAATTTCTAATATAACACAAGCACCAAGTGGCTACATTAGCATTCTGTGAGGTTCATATAAGGAATTACTTCATCTGATAATTTGCAGTTTAATTTATTTGAGTCATGAATATTTAAATTGTCAAAAATATAACATATATAGACATAGATATACATATATGTATTAGACATAGCAGATGAAATTGTATCATGGTTTATTAAATACCTTTAATGAAAACAGTGCATGACAATTAGAAATGATTAACACTATTAAAAAAACTCAAATTCATGTTCAGATTAGAGGTGATAGTGTTACCTTTGTTTCTAACATAAAACACTTAACATTCTGTATTGCAATTTATCTTTTAAGGTACAGAGGCTATGCTCTGCTCACTGCAGGAGAATGACAGATCTTCAGTGTGCAGCTTCTCTGGATGCTCAGAGAAGCAGGAGGACAAGTCTTAGGATCATCAAGAGGCTGCACGAAAATAAAAGAAAAGCAAAGGAAGGGTCACTCTTACCTGGCCTGGACAGAGGGTTGCACAGGACACTGAGTCATAATCCGGCCATGGTTTCCGACGCTCTCTAGCACCTCCATTCTCCTAGTAGGAGTGAACCCATCACTCCTGCCCAGACCCAACTAAAAAAGGTTCACTGAATGAATGAGAGAAATCAGAACTCATTGTTCTGCAGCCGGGATGAGGACTTCTGAGAGAAACGTTTGGGAAGAAACACCAATTTTCAGATGCTAATCAAGTAGAGCAACTTGAAAAAAAAAGAATCAAGGAGCTGGGTGTGAAGGGGTAGGTAGGCCAGTAATCCCAACACTCAAGAGAGGCTGCAGCAGAAAGACCCCGAGTTTGAGCCCAAGCTGGATAACGTAGTGAGACCTCCATCTCAACAAAATTTTTGAAAAGTGGGGAGGGGCCTGGAGATGCAGCTCAATGCAAAGGCCCTGGGTACCACTATAAATAAATAAATATTCAGAAACACCTGGGGGCCCAAAGGAAGGTTATTATTGCACTGTCAACTACTTTCCTCTGCTTGGGGTCTTCTTAGTCAATGAACCTTACTTTTGATTCTTTGCAACACCAAGAAACATATTTTTCCTTGTGGTACTGTGGACCCAACTTGGGCCCTTGTGCTCGCAAGGCAGGTAGTGGAAATACTGAGCCAAATCCCTGGTCCACCAAGAATCATTTCTATACCTGGGAAGCTGTTGTAATCACATTTTTCCCCTTCCTAGAGACCTAACACATAGCCACACTAAAAGAAGCAGAAAGAACATTAAAATTATTCACTATGCTACAACTCAGAGAAAAACACTAACAGTTTAAAGTATTTCCTTTTTATCTTGTTTTACATACATTTTTATTTTTTACTTACTTATTTTTTCTTTTGAGACAGGGCCTCCCTACATAGCTCAGGCTGGCCTTGAACTCACAGTGATCCCCCTGCCTCAGCTTCCCAAGTGCTGGGATTACAGGCACATGCTACCATGCCTGGCTATACACAGACATTAAAACAACAACAACAAGAAAAAACTGTTCACATTGCATTTGGTGGATTTTAATCTTGTTTTATTTATCATCATGTGATTAAGATTTTCCAAGGCCTCTAAATAGTTTTTGAAAACATGGAATGCAAATATCTTCTCAATATTTCATCAAATGGACAAAACATTTATTGAAAAATTTATTTCCTTACAGTGAATTTCTAGGCTGTTCCTAATTTTTCAGTTTATCATATTTTTCATGAAAAATAAAGTTGCAATGAACATCGGTCTTAATGTAAATCATTTCTTTGGAACAAATTCCAAAAAGTAAAATTATATATTAAAGAAAATGAACAACTTTATGGCTTTCAACATATAAAGACAGCTTCTAGGATCAATTAAAATATTATCTTTAATCTTATATTTGATAGTGTACTTAATCTCATGGATGTAACTACTGGGTCAAATTAAGAGAAATTATGACTAATCTTTTAAAAAGTATTTCTCCTTTAAAAATTCAAAATAACTGCATCAGACTGTCACTGTCCAACTCTCTAAATGAGACTTATGAATGTATTATTCCTTCAGATGAGTCAATCTTAAGGAACAATGAGGCTAACTGTAGGTCTTTATTCTGAAGAAGTTAAGTGTGGACAGCACCTACATGTGTCCTGTAAGGGTGCCCGTGTGTACACAGAGGCCAAAGACTCACTGATCCTGATGTAAGTCTTCACAGCTATGCATATTATAATAAAAATTACTTTGACCTTTCAAATTAAAACTAATTTTTATTTAAAAAAATCAGCACTTCAAAAATGATAGAAGAAAAATATAGACCAAAATAGCTCTTACCTTAAGCCTGCAACCAGCCCAGCTGGCATGATTTTCTTGGATCTCTTAAATCTCACACCCATTATGGTGGCCAGGAAGAAAGCTGTAACTGAGAACCAAGCCAATCCATAAACCAGTTTCAAAGATGTTATTTCTTGTTTGTGAAACAAATGCATATTATTTCAAACCTTTCAAAATAACTCTTTTATACCGTACTGAGTTGCTGTTTTCTTAAAAATTAAAGCACTGTATTAAAACACTTTGTAAACTAGCTTGTCAAAAAGTTTCTGCGTAAACAAACATCCTAAAACTCATTCCTGAAATATCTTCAAAAGTCTTCTTCTAGCCTCAATTTCTATACATAAGACACTCTTGAAAGGTTAGAACCATGTCTTAGTTAATTTTCCTCAAAAACACGAGGTGGTGTACACGGACTAGAGACATCCAAGAAATGGTTAAGCTGGGTGTAGTGGTGCATGCTTATAACCCAGAACTCTGGGAAGCTGAGGCAACAGGATTTTAAGTTTGAACACAGCAAAAGCAACTTAGTGACTTTGCAAGACCCCGTCTCTAGGCCACTGCGTTCACTCTTGCATGGTGGCCCACCCTAATGCTGTAGAGTGTATTTCTTTTCCTACTTTTGCTTGGCCCAAACTTGCACTGCAGAGCCTGTTTCTTTACCTTTAATAGAACTTTGCTACTATCAAAAAAAAAAAAAAAAGGCCCTGTCTCTAAATAAAAAATGAAAGGTCCTAGGTCCAATCCCAGTACCACAAAACAACAACAACAAAACAGTGACTCGAAATAAAGAAAATAACATTTTTTAAAAGTAAGATCAAATTATAGACTAATGCTAAGAACTCTTTATTTTCTTTTTAACATTCCATTTGGGTGGATTTGATGTCGAGAACTAACTAATAATATGTTTTTCAGGAGCATTGCATTAGCCTTCGAGAAACTCCACCAATAGGACTGTGGAGGTGGTTTTATGTAAGTGATTAGGGCAGTGATGGCAAATCTTTTAGAAATGAGGGCCAAATTGCAACCCCAAACCCACTTACTTATCAAAATGTGCTAACACAGAGGTTAAACATGAAAACTGCGCTTTTAGTTAAGAAAAAACAACTCATATGTTAACATCTTTCATTTTGAAAGAAAAACAAGTAACATGCATGCCATAGGTTCACCTTTTTAGAATCAGTATTTTCTTGGCAATGTAAAGACTATGCTAAATGTACATATATAAGAATAAGCAGGAAGTCCAGGAATAATTCCTTGCTTTTTCTAATTTAATTTCATTATTCTAGTAATAAGTTTTATAGAAAATTGAGTTTGTCGGCCAGGGATTTAGCTCAGTGGTGCCATTGCCTGCCTCACAAGCACAAGGACCCGAGTTCAATTCCCAATACCAAAAAAAAGAAAATTGAGTTTGTCTAGTGAAAAACAGAGCTGTGCACATACACATGGCCACTTAACATCTGCAACATGTTTTCTCAAGGTTCAGTTTTCTATAGGTGGGAAAAATGTGTTACTTACACAATGACAGTTTAACATCTCGTTTGTCATTGGATACCCGGTAAGCTCCATAGCCAGCCAAAAACCCAACAAGGAGACCAGCAATCAGAGATGGAACGCCACCTATGGGGAGAAAGTATGGGCTCAGAGAGTTCCACAACAAAAGCAATCTATCCAGGGCCGGGGATTTGGCTCGGTGGTTCTGCCGCCTGCCTTGCAAGCACAAGGGCCCAAGTTCGATCCCCGGTACCAAAAAAAAAAAACAAAAAACCCGCAATCCATCCTATATTTCAAGTATAACACATACAATTCTAGATGGGCATCAGAACCAGACAGCGCCAAAAGACAGTTTAGGAAACAACTGTTTCATGCTGAACCCTAAATGAAAAGCAGACAAACTGTCATAGTCAGCACACTGCAGGGCCAATGCAGGAATCACAGGAGGAGGAAGGAACCATGTCTTGTGACAGTGGCTTTGCCACTGCATGATCTTGAGCAATCAGTTGACTTTTTTTGTGCTACATTCTGTTTGTTTTCCTTGTTCGCTTTGGTTTAATCTTTTTACTAGGAGGTTGTGATGACCTCAAATAAGATCCAATGGAGACTGTTAGCTCAGAGAACTTTCAAATAATCAATTGGGGTTTGTCCTCTTCTTTTGGATAGAAAGACAACTTTGGATATAATTTCTTTTTCTTTTTTTTTGGTTTTTTGAGACAGGGTCTGACTATGTAGTTGAGACTGATCTAGAAATCAGTATGTAGCCCAGGCTGGTCTTGAACTCACAACGATCCTCCTGCCTCAGCCTCCTGAGTGCTGGGATTACAGGCGTGCACCACCACACCCAGCTGGATATAATTTCTAAGTACTATATTGAATCAAGATATCAGTATAAGTCAGTACTTTTACACATTATGTAAACAAAACAATCCTTATTTAGTAAGAAGTGAGTGGCCCTAAACAAGATTAAATCAATTAATTATGCAATTCATAATGGCAGGTTAAATTAGTCTTATGGTAGATGGAGGCCCAGAAGCCCCAGGTTGGAAGGCTCTGTCATGCTCAGTCCCACAAAACCCCTTCCCTCCACAAATCCCTTCCATGATAAGCTGGTCCATCTCGAATGAACCTCTGGCTTCCTGCCCCACTTACACACCCTCAGATGATCCTAGATCAACTACCAACTCCCCACAAGGCCCCTTTGATGAAAATGCTGTTTTGGGCTTACCTCTCCGCTTATACCCTAAAACGCTTCCAAACATCACAAGGGCTGCATAACCAAAACCAATCAGGTCCATGGGTGAGGCAGCAGTTCTAAAGCAAGGGGAAAAAGCAGAAAGGGACAAATACACAGAATAAGAGCAGTGCACACAAAAGTGACAGGTATCCCACAGAAGTACAGAAATTAACTTCTGTGGTCTGCTAAAGAAAGGGGGGCTCAGCTTCACCTCTCCCAGTGCTTGGCCACTGTCCTCCCATCCTTCTCACACTCAGGCAACTGCTCCTCAGTCAGGCTAACCAGCCGTGCATTCCCTGTAGTAACTGGCCACGGACTGACTCAGAAGAACGGAAAAGAGGCGCTGTAATGAAGTCCTAGCAATGAGGTAACTGAATGGCAGTGAGTGCTACTGTGTGTGTCACAGTGGCAGGTCAAACCCCAGTGAGAAGTCCCACTAAACTCCTGCTCTGGACACTCTATGATGCAGCAGGGAGTGTGTTGGCCACAGGCCAAAGAAGTGGCCACTGGCTGTTGCACCTCAGGCCACCCCCCCTTCTACCACCCTGTCCCTCCAAAGGTAGGAAAATAGATGATCTAAAGTTCCTTGAGGCCTTTTTTGTTTTGTTGTTCTTTTTGGAGACAGTGTCTTACTATGTAGCACAGGCTGGCCTGGAGCTTGTGGCGATCCTCCTGCCTCAGCCTCCCAAGGGGTGGGATTACAGGAGTGTACCACCAGGCTGGTTCCTTGCAGCCTTTTAAAGCCTAAGATTTCTAGTGGTACTCTAATATCTTAACTTTCTAACTTCTCCATTTCTTCCATGGGAAAATTATCTTTGCAAATCTGAGCAATAGTATATGAGATTTCTTGTATATTTTTTCAGTTTTCTCATTGCTCATCGGTTAGGTTAACCAGGCTTTTATTCCCTATAATAGCAATGAACTGACTCAGAAGAACAGAAAAGAGATACTGAGCTCACCTCCAGGAGTCAGGGACAACTTCCTGTGAGGAAGGTCTGAGGAAGAGGAGAAATCTGAGAACAGGAAGAATACAGGAGAAATCATCCGTGCCCAAGAGGTGGCAATGAGGGACCTAATGTATAGGAAAGACCTGTATTCAATACCACTGTTGACTGGACGATGGAAAAACAAGTACTTATAATAATAATGAGGAGGATAATGTGTTTGAGCAATTACCAGGAGATAGGTACCATTCTAAGGCCTTATATGTATTATCTCATAATCACTACCTCACAACACTGTAAAATAAGTTCTACCTTTTCAATCCCCACTTTCTAGGTGATGCAACTGAGGCATGCAGAAGGCAGGCAATACACAAAGCCACACAGCACAGCAAAGATTTCAGAGGCAGGCAAGTCTCACATGTACTTCCTGCTCCGGTACTAACCATGCCTTCTCTTTCACCTATATATAGGCTTGATGTAGGCTAGGCTATTTCTATTTCAGCACACTGAGAAAACAGAGGTAGGGTGAATTTGTGAGTCAGGCATTCAATGAATCACAACTTAAGTTTAAACTCATTTCTATTCAACATTTACTGAACATCTTCTTTGTCAATGCAGTAAAAAGCCAAGAAAAGACCTCAGACCTGGCCCTGGCCTTAGGACCCCTGTATGCCACAGTGGCAGGAGGAGGCAGACGCTGAATGAGCCTCACAAGATACCCCAAGGGAGGCCACTCAGGGACGCAGGGTCCCAGCTGTGACCTAGAGGAAAGCAGGACTAGGCCGAGTAAAGCTGTGTGCCAGGAAGAAGCAGTGTGCACACGGCCTCTCAGCGTGAGAAAGAAAGCACAGCACATTCCCAAAATGAAAACAAATCCAGGGGGTCAGGAAGAGAGGGCCAAGTGAGAAACACAGGGCTGCACACACAGGTGAGTCCTTGCTCAGACAGGAGCCTGGCTTCTGTCCTAAGGCCAGTGAGGGATTAGTGAGGTGAGCCTCACACTCAGACTTAAATTTCAGCAACGGCATCCTGGCTACAGTAGTGGGAGATGAATTAAAGCAAAGCAGAAGAGAAACTGGGAGACGGCTGTGTTGAACTGAGGAAGAGCTTAGCTGAAGGTGGGAGCCTTGCCTAGTGAGCTGGCAATGAGGGTAGAACAAGGTGGGTGGACTCAGAGCTTCAGGAAGTAGAATCAATAGGCCTGGATATGGGGAGTAAGGCGTAGGGACAAATCAGCAATGACACAGCCCTTACCTCTGGCTTAGAAGGGCCAGCAGGAGAGGCAGGGGCGAAGAGCCCTGACACTGTTCCCTCACCCGGAGGAGGTGTGTGGTGGGGGGCGGTGAGGTGGCCAGGAAGGACAAGAGCCACCTGGAACCTACTCGGTTGGGAGGCACCTGACTGGAAAACACTTTCTTAACACTTCCTTACACAGCTGAAGCTCAGCAGTTGGTCATTCAACAGCCCGTTATTTGGAGGCTTAATTTTCTCCTAAACACCAATCAGGATGAAAAGTAGATTTCCTATCCTCCCACTGAGTGTCCTCTTTTTTTTTTTTTTTTTTTTTTCC